GAATTGCAGTATATACATGAAGTCTGTACTTTTTATCACTTTTATGTCAACTGTAAAATTCTTTTTTATCGGAAAATGTTCCTTAAAAAACAAATAAAGATTTGATCAAAAAAAAATAATGGATTTATTTACAGAAGAGTAAAAATTTGGTTAAAGTTCAATAAATATATTTTGAAAATATGAATGCATGCGAAATTCTGGAAAATAATTGCCAGAATTGTTGTTGAATGATTCCTGAGAAAATAATGTGGAAAAAATAGCTTGGATAGTGATTTTTGTCACTCGGCGCCTTGGTTTGAGTTATGTAAAATACGGCTGTGTCTTGATGTGCGCAACTGTGTCTGTTTTATACTCTGAGCAAGTTCCGTACCACGTGTACGCTTTACAAACAGACGTTTCTTTGAACACGAAGCACTTTGATCCCATTATGTTGAAGTATATTTTTCCCAAAAAGTTCGCATTTGGCGAAAGCGATTGTTGAAGACAATGTCGAAATCTGAAAAAAAAGAAAACTTTCTGTCAATATACTGATACTTTCATGTACATGTATACATTTCAGCACAAACACAAAACAGAAATCTTAAAAGATAGAATGAAAAAGTCAAATAACGATGCTGATAAAGAGATAAAAATGTCTGGATATATATTTCATTTCCAAGACACAAATGAGAAATATGAGGAAAATATATTAAAAACTTTAAGAACAGGTGTGCATTAGGCAAACAACATTAAAAAGATTTAAAACCGTACATAAATATTTGAAAACGATTTGTGCTTGGTACATGTTCTCTCGGTATTTGGTTCCGGAACTGAAGTTTAGATATTTTTCTAATGAATCTCTGATATTAAATTAAAATACAAACAGACAATAGGGGTAGGTTTCTGAAAGAGCAAGACTCCCACTATGTTAATAAACAAAGAAAAAATAAAGACGTTCACCGAGTCGAAGATAATTATCCAGTGAAACATCACAGTGAATTATGAGACACACCTATGATATTTCTGTGTGACTGAACCAACCGAAAACTCCTACAACTAATACCCAGACATCGAATAAAGAGAAAAACCATAACGATCTGATTCAAATAAAAACATATGAATCTTCTCAATGTGGAGTCACCTATTTAATTTAATGCCTACCATCAATGAGATGGGATGCATAGAAATTAGCCGTTGTGGTTATACTTGAAGTCTTTCTTTGATGCAAAGAGTTTTCCTAATAAAAATTATAATTATTCTTCACCCAGATTTATGTTTGTTATGGATTCAAAACCGTAAAATTTTGAACCTCCCACCTGTAGCTAGTCTGAAGGTCTTTGGGCAGCGGTGTATAAAGATTTATGGGAGCTCTTCTGTCAGAAAATAGCGTCTCCTATTTAAATTTCAAACTTTCATACATAAAAACAGGTACTTCTCAGTTTGTCGTTAAATTATACACGGCATTATTTTTGTTTCTAATTTTATTTTCCTGGTCTCTTTAGCTATATATAGGCACGTAGTATTAACTAAGTGTGGAGTGAGTGAGCGGAGGCAGACCCCCCCCCCCCCGCCACTTTTTTTTTCTAATATTAACTTTAACTATTGAGTTGAGAAAAAAAACCTACCCTACCCTAACCTACCCCCAATATCCACGAAATGGGATTTTTGAGCTTAGACGTTTTACTTTTTTCTGCTTGTCAAGGAATTTTGCAGTAAGTTTTGAACCCCCCCCCCCCTTAAAAAACGATAAAACGATACTACCTGCTTGCCTGCTGATATACGAGAGGATCATAAAAGATCTTAAAGTTAATTAACTTTAAATTCATCAGTACAACGGAATATTACCCTTGTGGGATATGGACCCCCCTTACCCCTCCCCAGGATTGACCTGACTATTTTAAAACATTTCCCTTTTTCGTTGGTATTTCATGCACGTAGAAACTAAATCTTTTTTTACATAAGCTTTAAAAAGATGAATGCTAATGTCGATTTTCATTCATCTTAACGCCGAATGCTTAACGGTGAATAAAAAGGAAGAAGGAGGATATTTAGGTCTACAAATATTTACTTAAGAAGATTACTGGGTCGAGATGCTCTTGTACTTTTTTCTTCTATGGGGGATAATTACTTCAATATCAACAGTAGCATTACTCGTCTTTCAAATGAAGCAACTGGTGTATAAAATAGCATTTAAAGTGACAGAGTTTCTGTTAAAACGATATTTAATCACTGAGTCCTATTCTTTATCATAAAAGGTCCTTGATACAAGGACGGCCAACACTGTCTATAATAGGGGCTTGGATTTGCACAAAAAGCAAAACTCACTGTTCACAGTATTCATATATAATCGCTTCCGCAAACTTGTTACAAAAAAGAAGGAGAAATGCCTTCTCACTTATAACAATCTCAAACACTTTTCTTTATTTTAAAAATTTGTTTTATATATTTAATTACAAATGATAACAATAACAATAAAAATCAATTGGGATGGATTTCATTATTTTTTACGCGTGTATATAAATCAGATGTTTTTAAATTTTCCGTTTTTATTTGGATTGTAGCTGCTTACCGAGAACTCTGCATGCATGTTAAAGAAGAATATTTTTTTTAATAAGTGAAAAAAAAAGATGTACAGCCAGAGATGACCAACTGAGGAACAGCTGGGCCTCCATTTGACTTCTGTGTGACCAGGCGATGTTATCAGAGGGTATCGTGTCTAAGATTAAACCAAGGATCAAATAAATTCTCCCAAAGAGGGCTATCATTAAAGTTGATTAATACCCGGGAATCTTAGTCCCGATCCAAACAAACTCAGATCTTATCATCGCCATGGTTTGGTGCAATGAAGAACTATAAATGATGCGTGGCCACGAGAAGACAGAGGATTAATTTATTTTAAATGCCAGAACACTCCTAATTACTGGTCCTTTTCTGAGCAGTTGACATGATCTTAAAAGGATCTCCCTCGTCCCTTCGGTTTTGGGATTTATTGCTGACTACATATTAAATTTTGCGTTCTAATTTATTACAATAATTTGGGGGTATTGGAACAAAATTTTCGGAATGTAAACAAGACATTCAAATTGATTCAGTTAGAATTTTGAATGGAAGTTCAGCTACCTAACTGGGCAGTATTGGCTTCACGTGTTTAACATGAGTAAGAATGTTCTTGCTGAGTTTCACATTTAACTAGTGCTAATTGTAACGGGGACCGTTACAGATGTTCCCCAAACGCTCCCCAACTCCCTTTTGGTGCCATATTCCCTGTAAGCTTCATTAAATAAGACAAACTCGATGCATTTAAGACTTGAATAACGTTTACCCAAAAGTGTACCAAGTTCATTCAAATTTTGCGTGCGCATGTGAATGCATGTGCGTAATGACCATATCATCTTGTCTACACAATCTATATATTTTAAAATACTTAATATTAAAGTATTTAATCCAAAAGTATTAAAAAGATACGCTCATTCAAGTGTTTTTTTGATTTTGCTCATTTCACGTGCACGCACGTGCATACATGAGCATGGTGACCATACCTTCTTGTAGATGTCCATTACATCTATCTATGTTCTAAATCCCACCCCGTTTGGTTGAAAACCAAGGGAGTTATAGCTGTTTAAAGTTTCAGCCAATCAGATTGCAGCGCACATACATGCACGTGTATGCATGTGCATGGTGACCATATTTTCTTGTAGTAGTCCAGTATATCTATCTATGTTCCAAATCCCATCCTGTTTGGTTGAAAATCAAGGGAGTTATAGCTATTTAAAGTTTAAGCCAATCAGATTGCAGCGCACGTGCATGCACGTGTTTTCATGATAATTGCTATATATCATGTTGTAGGATATCCTAATGCATGGCTATTTTCAAAATTTCAAAGGATTTCGTCAAAAAACAAGAAAGATATTGAGACTTTAGTTTCAGCCAATCAGAGCAAAGCGCACGTGCATGCGCGTGAGATCTTGCTATTTTGACCATGTCATAATGTCTATGCTACTAATGTACCCTTATATTATAAGTTTCAAAGCATTTCATCAAAAATTTAAAAAGTTACTCCTATATCAATTAAATCGGTCATTACACATGTTGCACGTGCACGCTCTTGCAAGCACGTGCGCGCAAAATGACCTTCGTTCCGCAAATCTACATAACATGTCTACTGACCCTAAAAACATTTCACCTTAGTCGGATGTATAGTTTACGAGATCATTCCCGGACAAAAAAGTACCCAGGAAGAAGAAGAAAAATAATAATAACTAGTGCTAATTGTAACGGGGACCGTTACAGATGTTCCCCAAACGCTCCCCAACTCCCTTTTGGTGCCATATTCCCTATAAGCTTCATTAAATAAGACAAACTCTATGCATTTGAGACTTTAACAACGTTTACCCAGAAGTGTACCAATTTCATTCGAGTTTAAGCATTGACCGCGTGCGCATGTGAATGCACGTGCGTAATGACCATATAATCTTGTCTTCACAATCTATAGATTTTCATATACTAAATATCAAAGTATTTAATCCAAAAGTATTAAAAAATACGCTAATTCAAGTGTATTTTTGATTTTACTCATTTCACGTGCACGCACGTGCTCACATGAGCATGGCGACCATACTTTCTTGTAGAAGTCTATTACATCTATCTATGTTCTAAATCCCACCCCGTTTAGTTGAAAACCAAGGGAGTTATAGCTGTTCAAAATTTCAGCCAATCAGATTGCAGCGCACGTAATGCACGTGTATGCATGTGCATGATGACCATGTCTTCTTGTAGAAATCCATTATATCTATCTATATTCCAAATCCCATCCTGTTTGGTTGAAAACCAAGGGAGTTATAGCTATTTAAAGCATAAGCCAATCAGATTGCAGCGCACGTGCATGCACGCGTTTTCATGATAATTACTATATATCTTATTGTAGGATATCCTAATACATGCCTATATTTAAAATTTCAAAGGATTTCGTCAAAAAACAAGAAAGATATTGAGACTTTAGTTTCAGCCAATCAGAGCGAAGCGCACGTGCATGCGCGTGAGATCTTGTTTTTTTTTACCATGTCATCTTGTCTATGCATCTAATATATACTTTTAATATGAGTTTTAAAGCATATCATCAATAATTTAAATAGTTACGTCTGTATCAATTAAATTGGACATTTCTCGTGTTGCACGTGCGAGCTCTTGCAAGCACACGTGCATGCACATGCTTTCATGATATTTCTTTTATTACGGGCTGTAGATCTCCCTTATGTATGACTATATTCAAAATTTCAAATGATTTTATCAAAAAACAAGAAAGATATTGAGACTTTAGTTTCAGCCAATCAGAGCGGAGCGCACGTGCTTGCACGTGCGATCTTGCTATTTTGACCATGTCATCTTGTGCATACTACTCATATATCCTTACATTATGAGTTTCAAAACATTTCGTCTAAAAATAGAAAAGTTACGGTTATATCCATTATATATTGGTCATTTTAAGTTTTGCACGTGCGCGCTCTTGCAAGCACGTGC